GGCCTTTGCCCCCACTGAGGCTTCCCTCCTTCACCCCAGGATACCCCCAGGAACTGTGAGCGCTACCTGAACTGGGCCCACGCCTTCCTGGTGGTATACAGCATGGACAGCCGCCAGAGTTTTGAGGACAGCAGCAGCTACCTGGAGCTGCTTGCTTTGCACGCCAAGGAGACACAGCGCAGCTCCCCTGCCCTCTTGCTGGGCAACAAGCTGGACATGGCCCAGTACAGGTGAGCACAGACAGTTTGTCCTCCTCTCTGGAGTTCACTTTCCTCATTTGTAAAGGCTGGGTGTCATCATTGGGGATTGTTTGGCTAAATTTGAATAATCCCCTCAAATTTAGGTTAAAGGTAAGTGGTCTTCCAGACAGGCAAGGGCAGGAAGGGAGGAGCTTCTGGCCCACACAGGGGTTGGACCCTGAAAGTTAGAAGAGATGCCACCCCTTCCATCCTCATGGGGCTTTGTGGTCTTTCTCGGCCTCACCCTTCTTGCCTGTCTCTAGGACATTCCATCCTCACTCTCCATAGCTTGTTGATTATTCAGTGCCCAATTCCAGGTCTGAGAAGAAAGGCTGTGATTGGCTCCTGTAATCAGGTTTCTGCTCTGGTCCAACCAGCTCTAGCCTCACCCAAGCATGGCCCCAGGCTCACTCCCACAGTTGGCTGTGCTGAGGGCAGGTTCTCTTAGACTGAGTTGGACTTGAATCAGAGGTCACAGACTGGGCCAGAGGACAGATTACCAGCAAATACAGCAGCGTTTTGCTTGGCGAGCACAGAGTTTTAAAAGACCTAGAATTGGAATGCTTTGAGGAGGGGCATGCTCTCTCCAGCTGACCACAGGCCTTACCACTCCCCATGGCTTACCTCTACCCTCCGTATACATTTGAGCTGCTTGCCTGGCCCCTGAAAGCATGATGCTTACACTTGATGAGTGACCCCACTGGCCTTCTTCACCGCTGACATTTGTCCTATGTGGCCAGCCCACCTTTGAAGTATGGCACCTTCCACCCATTTTCCACCTGTCCCTCCCTGTGCATGGCTAGTACCCTGCTTCCCCAAGCCTCAAAGGCCCATTCTGGTATTAGCAGGGAGGGGACTTAGGTGCAGAACAAATCAGATGGGCAGCGGGACAGGGGGTGCAGTCTCATGAAGAGGGGCCATGGTAGGAGCCTTTACTGGCCATTCAGCCCTCAGACCAAGACAAATTTCATCTCAGGAAATGAAGGAAGTTGTGTGATCTTAAAACCAAAAGGTGATCTTTGAGGAATTATAGAGCTCACAGTGCCTGCCAGAGGGGTCAGAAGACTGAATTGTGGTAAGTTGTCTTCAGTATGAGGAAAAAATTTAGACAACTGTTTTGATCCTGATCTTTGCCAAAGGGATTGTCTAAAAATGGTTTGGTAGCAAATAACAAAGATTATGGGACTCAAGCAGTTTCAATTCCCTCAGAAAAGTCATGACAGTTATCTTCATTTCCTTCTTTGATCAAGTCCTGAGGTTAGTGGGTCAGGATTTGATGAGCAGTAAAACTTCTAGCTGAGCATTGGTGTGTCTCCCATAATTGTCTTGCAGCTAGAAGGTAAAACATAGGTTAGAGCAGTGGTTCCTGAACCACTGATAAAATTGTCACCAGGCTGCAACAAAATAAGAGGATAATATTACATACCTGTGTCACCCATTCACAAAAACATGTATACATGTTCGGGGTGCTGCATATTCTAAAAATTCACGTTTCAAGCCTCCAGAGTGACAAATCTGTAGATTCAAGCCCATCATAAAAGCAAATAATACCAAGTATTCCTTCAAAAAGGTTTCTTAGGAAGCAGTGAGCTTCCAGACAGGACATCAGCCATGGGTGGGGAGTCTAGATGCTCTGCCTCTGGCCCTTTTTGTCCCAGTTACTCTGTCTGATACTCCCCTGGGCAACTAGCCCTCTCCCAGTCCCCCTCCCCCTCAGGAACCTCTTCCCACCAATACCCACCTGTCTCATGGGCTCTGCCACTGTCCTTGGGAATGGCGGATGGGGTGATCAGCAGTGCAGGGTGATCACCAAGATCCAGCCAATGGAACCTTGGCCTCAAGACCTCAGGTACCCCCTACCCCTTCCTTCTTCTGGACATCTGACCTACACAAGAGCCAATTGTTTTCCTCTCACCTTTAGTCCCATGGCTTTCAGGTCCAAAACTTCCAGGACCTCCCCAGTTAAGTATTCGATCCCACCATCACAAAAGAGGAGTATAGGACGAAGCTGACAATGGGTGCTGTTCCCTCTCTCCTTTTCTCCCTCCTTGTAATGAAATGCCACCCTTGCTCTCTCTTGCCCCTCCCCTGGACAGGCAGGCAAAACTCCCCATGGGCCCTGAGAGCTCTGCTGACCACAGGCATCCTGAGTCACCTCACCCACCCTGCCTCTGTGGGTCACACCCTTCAGTCCAAACCACTGCCTTTCTCTAGAGTCAGTCCCACAGACCTGGGCTGAGGGTGGCTCATTTCCTGACCAAGGACCCATGCTGGCATAGATGCAGGGCTGGGAATGACCATCTTCCTCGGTGCACAAACAGGGTCTAACCAGTAAGCTTCTCCCTTGCCTACGGCTTTGTTTCTAAATTCTGGCTTTGGTGAGGTCAGCCATCATTCATTGAGCACTGACTCTGTGCCAGGTACTACACTAGGCACACAATACAAGTGGTTTTTCTTAATTCTTTTAACAACCCTGAGAGGTAGAGGTCACTATCCTGTTGTACAGATGAGATGACTCCAGCTCACCAAGCTGGTGAGTGGGGAGCTGAGTGCAGGCCCAAGCCTGCCCCACTTGGATGCGTGCTCCTGACCCTGCCTTGCCCTGCTTCCCCACCAGGCAGGTCACCAAGGCAGAGGGTGCAGCCTTGGCTGGCAAGTTTGGGTGCCTGTTTTTCGAGGTCTCTGCCTGCCTAGACTTTGAGCATGTGCAACATGTCTTCCACGAGGCCGTGCGGGAGGCACGGCGGGAACTGGAGAAGAATTCCCTGCCCCGGCCCCTCTTCATCTCCGAGGAGAGGGCCCTGCCACACCAGGCTCCGCTCACTGCCCGGCATGGGCTGGCCAGCTGTACCTTCAACACACTTTCCACTGTCAGTCTGAAGGAGATACCTGCCGTGGCCCAGGCCAAGCTGGTCACTGTGAAGGCATCCCGGGCTCAGAGCAAGCGCAAGGCACCTACCCTGACCCTGTTGAAGGGCTTCAAGATCTTCTGAGGGCACCCCTAAGGATCCCAGACTTAGGGGCTGTGCAGGGCTGCAGGATAGGGGCTGACTTCTCACCACTGGCTTTCCCTCTGATGGAACAATAGCCCTCGCCCTCTGGCGGACAGTTGATCCCTCTTCCAGCACCAAGTAATTTCCCTGACACCCAGTTTACTGTGTGAGCTGGAGGGACAGGCAGAATGCTGCTCTTAGTCCCTCCAGGCCTTGGTTTCCATGGTAACCACTGCCGTTCCCCCACCCTGAAGGGAAGTAGCCACAAGACAACACGGAGACCTGGGTCTGGCTGAAGTGGAAGGAAATTGCAGTGTCCATCATGGTGCCATCACCCCTTCCTGCTCCAGCAACAGCCAGGCCAGATGTGGCCCCTAGTGGACAGCTCTGGATGGATGGTCACCACCAGTAGGCCCTGCGTACAAGGAGGCCAGAGAACATTCTACAGGAGCAGACTTGAAGTCCTGGCACCACCTAGTGGACGGAAAGGGCAGAGCGGCTACAGGTTTTGGGTGGCCTGAGCCTGGCCCTCCTGTTGTCTTCTGATTTCACAGAAGCCCCAAGCACCAAACCCCACAGTTTATCCAAGTAAAATCTAGTTTAAATAATCCTATGGGACAGCCTGTGAGAAGCAAAATTCCCAGGAAGGGCTGTTTCTGGTACTTTGCCTCTCAATGAGGATAGAAGGTTGGGGGCTCTAGGTTGCCTAGGGTAGTGAGCATCCAGTGTTTTAGTCACCAGGAAGCAGACCCGCCTTGTTTTCCCATCTTAAATTAAGGATTCTCTCCACGGACCCTCAGGACCAGCTTCCTGAAGCTTAATGATCGAAGCTGCAGAAAAAAGTCATTCTCTCTAGTGACCATCACACAGGATCCAGAGAGCCTGTAACTCAGTATCAGACATCCGGTGGGCACCGTTAGCCTGTCCCAGGCTCGTAGGCAGAAACACAGTAGAGCAGTTTGTAGTCTGGTCCAGCAAGACCCAGTACCTTTGGCAATGGGTCTGAATGTTCAAAGTCCACTTTTGAAAGATAGAACCTAAAGCATTTTTGGCCACCACAGCTTATACCATAACACTGTGGCTCAGATGTGGGATCAGGACAGCACTCTTGGGATTTCATTGTTAGCACAGGGAGCTCTATAGTTTTCTAACTCTGTTTACCTCAGGGCCCCTAGCCCAAAGGAAATCTCTCGTAGACCCTCAGCAGATAAGCAGGTAAAGGAAATGGTTCTGGTAGGAGGAAGGGGTGGCAAGGGGATTCTGAGCCCAGAATCCTGCTCTTGGCAATTCCAGGAGCTTGGATTAAGAACAACGGCTCTAGAGGTACCTGGGTGGTTCAGTCGGTTAAGCGTCGGCCTTCAGCTCAGGTTATGATCTCGCGGTTTGTGAGTTTGAACCTCGTGCCAGGCTCTGTGCTGACAGCTTAGAGCCTGAAGCCAGCTTCAGATTCTGTGTCTCTTCTCTCCCTGTCCCTTCCCTGCTTGTGCTCGTGCTCTTGCTCTCTCTCTCTCTCTCTCTCTCTCAGAAAAAAAAAAAAAAAAAAAAATTTACATATAAAAAAAAAAGAAAGAACAACAGCTCTAATCCAGCCTTCAGCCCCATTATGTAGATGGAGAGGTTGAGGTCAGAGAGAGGCTATGAACTCCTCAAAACCACACTAGAAGTCGTAGCCTGGCTTCCTGACCCACAGGCCGGCTATGGATTTTGCGATTTTGCTCCAAGCCCCTTGTGTTGAACCACCCCCATTGGAACCAACTGCATTTCCAAATGCCCACTTCAGATGCATTTTAATAAAAAGGGAGGGTTTTTTTTCATAACAATATTTTGATTGCAGTTCATTCACTGAATCTGCTGACAACATGGGGCAGTGCTCTGGACCCCTCTTAGCTCTCAGATTCTTGTGGGTCTGGAAGGAGAACCAGTGGCACCTTTCTCCCTTTTAACTCAGTTTCCACCTGGGCCAAATTTTGCTTTTCTGAGAGCAAAGTCTCTCTTAGCATGTTCAGGTTGTTGTCCTCTCTGGCTCCGGCCTCAGCCAAGTCTTGGACTTCCAGAGTTGTTGTTTCCGGTTTGTTTTTCCTCAGTGTCTTTTGATTTCTGGGAGGAGAGAACACACTGTTGAATCGGGGTTCCCTGAGCTGGGGGACTGAGGGGCTGGGGCAAGACTAGGTCTCGCAAGTGGACTAGCGAGGTGGAAAATCCAGTGGGCAGTTCTGGGAACTGCTGGGGGAGAAAGCCAAGATAGTGTGATGTTCTTTTGGCAGAGAAACAGTTTATATTCACCAGTGCATCATCTCCCCAGATCCTCATTGCCACCATGAGCTCAACTATTATTGCTACAGGATCCCCTTCAAGGTGACATGTGGCTCAAAAAGGTCAAAAAGGCACATACCTTAGACATGCATTTAAGTCTCCTGACTCTGGGTTCCGTGTTCTTTTCGCCAACCCACACATTCTCTATCCCAGGACTTCATTCTACTTAGTGCAGGTCCTTGTTACCCCACACCCCATCTCCACCCTCATCCCACCCCATCCTCAGACAAACTACTTTAGGGAAATTCCTAAGTAATCTTCCTGCTTCTAGGTCCTTGCTTTTCCAAACCAGCCCCCATGCACCAGTCATGTTTCTAAAACCGCAGTGTGCACACATCACGCCTTAACTCAAGCATCTTTAGTGGCTCCCGACTGCCCATGTCCTTAACCTGGTGTTCAAGACCCAGCCTTCCTTTCAGTAACTCCCCTAAATGTCATCTCCCCGAAGGTGGTTTTACTCAAGGTACCCCTAGACTTCCTGGCCAGAGTAGAGGGACCGAGCTGTGGTAAGAGCTGACTGCCCAGAGAATCTGCTTGGGCCCCAGGAGGAGTAGCTCATTGTCTGCCTTTCCCATGGACGGCCACTTTGCTCCCGAGTTGACCTTGTTGAGGGCAATGCCTCCTGACAGGGTAAGAAAGGCAAGGTCACCTTTTTAGAAGCTATATCCCTTTGGTTCCTCTTATGTCCTGCATCCAGACTAACCTTGCTAAAACATAAGACTTTCATGTCCCTGTTCAAAGCTATTCCCTGGCTCCCCAGTGCCCATGAGCTAGAACCTGAATACCTTGGCATGGCCCCCAGGACCCATACATTCTGGGTCCTGCCCCCTTCTTGTCCTCCCTCTATCCCCATCCCACTTCACATGCCACAGCCACATGGCTGGGCCCTCCTCCTCCAGCATGTTAAGCTTGATATCTGCTGTCCCTCAGTCTGGAAAGCTTCCTTGGCCCACCCGCCCTCTATCTCTTTGCCCTGAAGGCCCCAGATCCCACTACTGTGCTCCCACTGTACTCTGTATGTCCCATACTGAGCACCTGTCACTCTGAACTACACTTGTCCCTCTACCAAACTGTAAATTCTATAAGGCAGGGGCTGAATCCCTCTTGCCCGTGACTGTAGCTCCCACTCTCAGAACAGAGCTTGGCACTGAGCAGGTGCTCAGCTCTTACCTGCAGAATGAGTAGTGAATGAGGCCACAGCAATTCATAAGTACTAGTTCTCAGTGTGAACAAAGGGCACTGGGTTTGTTTTTTGTTTTTTACTTTATAGCAGAACTATGAAGAAAATTCATGCATAATATAAAAGCATAGAAGGAAGAGCACAGAAGCTAGGCCAACACTTCCTTAGATCCTCAATTACCTTATTCTGTACAATGGAAATAAATAAATTGTGCCTGCCCTACCTTACAGAGGTGTCTTGAGGGTCAAATGAGAGAATGTGAAGATACTTTTCAAATTGTAAAACATGGTACAGATATGAGGGAAGGGTTCTCATTATTTTTGTTTGAAAGTTACTGATAGTGATGACTGGTGGGTATATAGTAATTGTTGAAAGAAAAATGGAAGGGAGGGAGGGAGGAAGATGTGTGAACCAAGCATTTATTGAATCATTTCTAGAACCCAACACTGCCAGTCTCTTGGGGAAACAAAATTGAGTCAGATGTGGTCTGTGTCCTCAAGGAGCTCTCAAAAGTCAGCCCTGGAAGTTTATCATCCAGGGAATTTAGCAAAATGCCAATGACCACCCCAGACCCTTTGTATCAGAATCTCTTACTCACTTGTGAGAGTGGCAGAGCTGGGATTTGAACCCAGACCTATGTGACTCCAGAACCAGAGATCCTGACCTCTGCTTGCTGGCCAGGGACAGGGGGTAGTTTTTCAACAGCTTTGTGTTGTCAAAGGACCCCAAAGGCTGCATTTTGCTTTCCCAAAGGGTGGCTAGCCAAGCCCCTATGTGACCCCTCCCTAGATTTCCCCACCTCCCCAGAGACCACCCCTAGGCCAGCTCCTCACCTGTTTGCCTGGATGCTCTTTCTCAGGAGGACGATGCTTATCACAATCACCACACCCACCAGGGCAAAGATGGAATAATTCCAAGGAGATGCTGGGGAAGGACACACAGAATGGAGCCTTGAGGAGAGGCTGGGTGCCCCTCAGGCCCACCAACAGTTGGGGCTTGGGCTCAGCCTCAGCTCACAGCACTAATCGTTCTCTGCTGTAGGCCGGGTGTTGTAGAGAGACCCCTGCCCTGCAGGAACTCAGTTGTGGGGGAGAGAGACTGGGAGGCATGATTTCTGCTCTACAGAAGCCCTAATCTAAAGAGGGACAGCACGGCAGTTGGATAATCGTGTGGAAAGCGGGATGTGGGTGGACATAAACTTCACACTCTTCAGAGTTGTGCCAGAGGCCAGCCCTGTGCAGTGCGAGGAAAGGAAGGAAGGAAAGGAGGCTGGGGGTGAGAAGGAAGGGATGGCTGTAAAACTGTTCCACAACTGCCGAAAGAGAACACCTGAAGTGGCTAATCTGAATTTGGATAATAAGATCTGTCCACACAGTGCCAAAGTGAGGCAGAGTCCAGCCTCAAAGCTATTGCATTAGCTGTTCCCCTGCCAGGAATGTTCTTCCCACACATAATCTGCGTGGCTAATCATTTCATCTCCTATAAGCCTTTATGCAAACAAGAGCATCTTAGTGAGGCCTTCCTTGACCATAGTACCTACACTTCTATTCCCTTTCTGTGCTTAGTTTTTCTCCTTATTACTCATCACCAACATACTATGCATTTTACTTGTGTGTGTGGTTTCTTTTCTCTTTCATTAGAATGTATGCTCCATGAGGGCATGGACATTTGTGCTTTATTCACTGCTGTAACCTCAGTGCTGAGAACAGTGCTTGCTGCACAGAAGGAACTTAATAAATACTTGTGAACGATTGAATAAATGAGTGAATGAATGACCACACCCCAAGGAGAGGAGGGTGCGGGTAGGCCAGACCCCTTGGGGAATTAAGACCCCTCAGCCTCGGTCCCCACCTTGGAGGACGTGTGCAGCCTGAAGGATGAGGCTGTGTCAGGGGGCTTCAGCCAGATTCCACTCTGTGTTGAGGACAGACCCCCACCCCCCACCAGTCCCCCACCACTTACCATCTTCTACTCGAAAAAACCAAAGCATTTCTTCCAGCAGTTCCTGAGGCACCACGGTGCCAGCTGGAGCTTGGATGACCCCGTCATTGTGGTCCATGCCCCTGTTCACGGTTGGGATACGTTTCTGACAATGAAATCCTTAGGCCCCGTTGTTCCCAAGCTGCCCACCTGGCCTCCTAGGTTCTGGCCCTTGAGCAAAGCCCTGAAGACCCCTGGAAACAAAGAGAGCATGGATGGATACCCCACCCCAGTTTGACCTCCCTTACTACCCTAACCCAGCTCTCCTCTGGCGCAGAGTTACTGGACCAAGACTGCCTCAGGGCAGGTAGGGTCTGGAGAGGCAGAAACCATTGAAGTGGGTGACACTCAAATATTTATTGAGACTCATCATGTGTGGAGAGGAGCACTGACCTGGGAGTAAGGAGGATTGAGTCGCTGGCAGGTTGTAAGGGACATTTTTCATTTTTGCCTGCCCAGCATCCCCATCCAGCTTCTGCTGCCCAACGCACTAGGTCACCCGGGTTTCTTAGCAAATTGTCCCACCTCTCACCATTGATGCCATGTAATAGCGTATCACAGGCTCCTGTCTCCCCACAAAGCCTGGGCCTATCAGCCTCTCTTCTGGAGACCTGAGACACAAAGCTGAGAATAGGAAAAAGTGCCAGAGAAAGGTAGTCGCCAGCTCCTGCTACTGAAAGCTGGGCTCTCCTCTTTCTCCATCACCATTCCTAGGCCAGATTGGTCAGTCCTCAGCAAACCTCTGATAACTTTTTTTTTTTCTTTCTCTTTTTTCTTTTTCTTTTTTTTGGACATGTTGTCAGAATTGTTTTTCTGCCATTTGCAACAGAAAAAACTGAACTCATGCTCCCTGGATAAACCCCTTCCTTAATTTGAGCCTGTTTCCATTCCCACAAAACAAAACAGGTTAAGCTAATTGTGTTTACCAAACCTCAGTCAGTCTCAAAACAGTCACACATCGTGCTTGACATATTCTTGTACTACCTGTGCTATTACTACTTCTTACAAAAATTCCCACTCTCCAGATTAAAATAAGAAATAGGTGCAATTAACTTTGTTTAATCCAACATATTTTGTTTAATCCAACATATCCCCAAAAGTACCATTTCAATGTAATCAATATAAAAATGGTTGAGATATTTTGCATTTTTTTTGTACCAGGTCTTTGAAATTGGGTGTAAATTTTACACTTATTGCATGTCTCAGTTCTGACTAGACACATGAGGCTTCTGTATGATACATCCCAGGTCTGTGCCCAGGCTGGGGCCCGGCTGTGGCAGCTGATTCTCCCAGCTGTTCTGGGCTCCTGACAGGAGGCCTCAGGCCATGGGAAGTGAGCCTTGATCTAAGACCAAGGGGCTGGCCCCTCATCTGGCTCTGCCTCTGGTTAATTTGTCTAGGCAAATCCCTGGGTCCTCTGAAGAACAAAAAAGGAAATACTAAAAATAGAGGTAGAAATCAATGAAATCAAGGCAGGGGGGAATTGACAAGATGAACAAAACCAAAAACCTGTTTTTTAAAAAGATATTTATAAATAAATCTCTGGCAAGATTGATCCAGAAAAAGAGAAAAGATACAAATAGAACCAAAGTTAGACCAGAGACTTAAATATATAGAAATGTGTTTTGAACCTGGGGCACCTGGCATCCAACTCTTGATTTTGGCTCAGGTCATGATCTCATGGTTCATGAGTTCAAGCCCTGTGTGGGGGTCTGTGCTGACAGTGCAGAGCCTGCTTGGGATTCTCTCTCTCCCTCTCTCTCTCCCCCTCTCCTGTTCTCTCACTCTCTCTCAAATAAATTTTTTAAATGTATTTTGAACTATATACTAATAAACTTGACAAACCAGAAATGGATGAATTTCTAGAAAAATAGAAAATGTCAAAACTAGACAAGATACTTGAAACTCTCAGAAAAATAAAGTCCAGGTTTAGATGGCTATAATTGTGAGTTCTAATAAACTCTCAATAAGCAGATAATTCTTACTTTAAATAAGTTGTCCCCCAAAATGAACAGCACCAATTGGATTGTTCTTTTAACACTGGTTTCAAAACTACATGAAGACCATGCAAAAAGAAAAGATGATAGGCCCACTCACTTATGAAAGTAGATGAAAAAATCCAAAATAAAGTACTAATTGCTCAAATTCAACAATGTATTAAGAAAATCATTACCAAGGAAGCTTAATACCAGGAATGGAAGGACAGTTTGACATTAGAAGCTTGTATGATATAACTTTTATGTGGATTCTAAAAAAAAGACTTAGGGGCACCTGGGTGAATCAGTCAGTTAAGTGCCTCTTGGTTTTGGCTCAGGTCATGATCTCATGGTTTGTGAGATCGAGCACCGGGTTGGGCTCCATGCTAGGCATGGAGCCTGCCTGGGATTCTCTCTCTCCCTCTCTCTTTCTCTCTTTGCCCCATCTTGCTCATGTTCTCTCTCTCTCTCTCTCAAAATAAAGAACTTAAAAAAATGAATAAAAATAAAAATAAAAAATAAAAAAAATTTAAAAAGTCAAACTTGTAAAAAATGGAGGGAAATGGTAGTTGCCAGGAAATGTTGGGGGGGAGATAAGCTTTATATTATTTAAGGGTACAAACTTGCAACTAGTAGTACATAAGCCATAGTGATCTAATGCATAAAATAGACAATAATATTATGCTATAATTATGTAATGTGATAAATACAATTACAAAGACAATCATATTACAATATATAAATGTATCAAACTAATGTACATGTGAAATTTACACAATATTATATGTAATATAGATTCAATTAAATACATGAATACATAAATAAAGTGTAAAATTTGATAGGAAAGATGTAAAACTCATAATTCTCAGATGACAAGATCATCTACTTAGAAAGACACACAATTAGAACTAATAGAAGCATTTACTACAGTTGCTATATACAAGTTCAATAGCATTTCTCACAATATTAGTGAAATTGGAAAATTCAGTAAAAATGAGATGCCACTCATAATAGCATCAAAGCCATAAAGCATCTAGATAAACTTTTCCAAGCATAGAAAAGACCTCTATGAAGAAAATTAAAACTGTAGGACAAAAAAAAAAAGTTGGTCTGAATAAATGGAGAGACATCTATGATTTTGGAAAGGATAAATATATTATGAACATGTCAATTATCCCCAAGTTAATCTATTAATCCAATACAATTTCAATCAAAATTCTAGTTGGACTTTTTGAGGATCTTGATAAACTTATTCTAACATTTATATGGAAAAAGTAAACATATAAAAGTAGCTAAGTCAATCTTAAAAAAAAAAAGAGGAGAGACTGACCCCACTAGAGGTTGAGACATAGTGATAAAAAATGTGGTTTTGGGGTACCTGGGTGGCTCAGTCACATGAATGTCTGACTCTTGATTTTGGCTAAGGTCATGATCCAAGGGTTGTGGGATGGAACCCGCATCAGGCCCCGAGCTAAGCCTGGAGCCTGCTTAAGATTCTCTTTCTCTCTCTCCCTCTGTCCCTCTCCCCCACTCACGTGCTCTCTCAATCTCTCTCTAAACAAATTTTTAAAATATGGTTTTGACACAAGACCAAATCACTATACCAACGGATCAGAACAGAGATTTCATAGAGACCTATGTACACGTGGGAACTGGACACACTAACCAGTAGGTAAAGGAGGAATTGTTCAGTGGATGATGTCAGGGAGACTAGCTACTGATGAAGAAAAGGAAGACGAGGTGCACATCTAACAAACAGCAAACTGAAGTAGACTCCAAAATTAAAGACCTAATTGGAAGAGGACAAAATATAAGTTAATAGAAGCAAGGTAGGACTTCTTAAAAGCTCAAATCTTCAATAACAAAAAACTGATGAATTTGATTATATCAAAAATAAGATTATCCGTTCAATGAAGAATACCCTCAATAAAGTAACAAGCACATTTCCAGTTGGGATAAGATATTGATGATGCTTAAAATCAAGAAAAGACTGATATCTAGAGTATACAAAGAATTCTTGCAAATTAACAAGAAAAAGATAGGAACCGTAATAAAAGATAAAGGATATAAACAGGCAACTTACAAAATCAGAAACCCAAAGGCTAGCAAGCATATGAAAAAGTGATCAATCTTTTGGTAATCAAAAGAATGAAAATTAAAACAAAAATGAAATAGCACTTGACATCTATCTGATGGACATAGTTTAAATGGTAGATAATGCTGTGTGTTGGTAGAGCTCTGGGACTATAGCCTTAGGCACTAACAGAGGGCATGTAGACAGGCCGCCATCTAGAGCAAATCAGCCAAAGTGTACACGACTCACGACACAGCAGTTCTGCTCCTGAGTATGTATATATCCCAAAGAAATTATCCCCAACAGATAGGGGGCATGCCATACCACTTATGAAAATTCAAAATATATGCACACAAAACTACACGTTTTACAAAACACATTTTTAAAAAAAGATACACATTACACATATTAGGATAGTTATCTCTGGGGGAAGAGGAAAAAGGGGGCAGGAATGGAAATAAAAGTAAAGAAGTAAAACAGAAGAGTTTTGAACAGACCCACGGTGAAAACGTCATGGGGCTAACCAAAAACAAACACAAAAAGAGAACAGAGGGTCTCGGAGGCAATCTCAAGCACCCCTCTTCTGATACGGCTTTCTGCAATAGCTTTGGATGCTCAGTCAGGAACATCCAAAGATAGCTGGATGGCAAACAGCCAACTAGAAAAACAAAGTACTAGTAAAAGGATTGACATCAGAGTTTTTTTTTCCAACTCTAAATGCTCTGCGAGAAATAAAGAAGCATCTACATATTTTGAGGAGAAATATTTTGACACAAATATAATACTAAGCAAGTTTGGGGCACCTGGGTGTCTCAGTAGGTTAAGCGTCCGACTTCAGCTCAGGTCATGATCTCACAGTTCATGGGTTCGAGCCCCACGTCGGGCTCAGTGCTGGCAGCTCAGAGCCTGGAGCCTGCTTTGCATTCTGCCCCTCCCCTGCTCATTCTCTGTCTCTATCTCTCAAAAATAAATAAACTTATAAAAATTTTTTTAAAATACTGAGCTAAGTTTTTCATATATGAATGATCATTTGCATGTCAAGATAGAGATGGAAGTCAAGGAGAAAGAAAGTGTTTTGTTTTATTTTATTTTATTTTATTTTATTTTATTTATTTTATTTTATTTTATTTTGTTTTATTATTTTAAAAAATTTTAAGTTGGCTCCATGCCCAACGTGGAGTCCAATGTGGGGCTTGAACTCATGACCCTAAGATCAAAACCTGAGATGACAGTGAGCCACCCAGGCGCCCCCAAGAAAGATCTTTTTTAGACTTTCCTGGACTTGGAAGCTTACTACCTACTTACTCATTACTTACTGAACATCTGTTGAATAAGGAAAAGACAAAGTTACAGGAATGGCTAATGTATGATTTGCTGTTCCAGCTCCAGCTATCTGTCCAGAACACTTGCTAAGAAGGGTTGTGATTTTCTGTCCAGTCTCAGATGCAGGAGGGTCTGGATTAACTAGCAACATTGGCCATAGGCTCCTGTCACATATGCAGACCCCCCCAGACCCACAGAGAAAAGAGCGTGAAGGTCAAGATAGCCAACACTGACTCTTTCTGGGGAAGTGGATGGGGCCTGGATATTGGGGTGTTCACTTTGAACATTACTGTATACGTTTCTCATGAGTACACACTACCTTCATGCAAACAATACATGTAATTATATATTTTTTAATGTATGTATTTTGTATGTATATTTTAAGTATATATTTAGCATACTTGTATTTTTTTAGTGTTTGTATATATTCTATCTTTTGAGACAACAGCTCCAATTTTGGATGTTTAATTAATGGAACTAATAAGATGTCAGTTCTTCCCAGCTTGATCTATGGATTCAGTGCAATATCAATTCAAGATCCCAGCAAGTTATTTTATGGATAAGGACAAACTGATTGTAAAGTTTATATGGAGAGGAAGACCCAGAGTTAGTCAACATAACACTGAAGGAGAAGAGAAACATCAGAGGACTAATGCTACCTGACTTCAAGACTTACTATAAAGCCACAGTGGACAAGACAGTGGTGTACAAATCTGCATGTGGGCTGATGTCCACAGTGGAATGTGTGCTTTAAATATGTATAATATTGTTATAATAAACATACGCCAACAAACAAACAATGACAACATGAATACAAGCCTAGAACTGAGAGCCAGCCCTCCCTGCTTGTGTTAGAGGCCACAGGAACAAAGGACACGTTTCCTTCAGAGCGCTTATCCAGTTTCCTTCTAGAATGGGGATCGTATTAATATACCTGCTTTAAAAAAATTAACTAGGGGCACCTGGGTGGCTCAGTCACTTAAGCGTCCGACTTCAGCTCAGGTCATGATCCCACAGCTCATGGGTCTGAGCCCCACATCGGGCTCTGTGCTGACAGCTCGGAGCCTGGAGCCTGCTTCGGATTCTGTGTCTCCCTCTTTCTCTGCCCCTCCCCCACTCATGCTTTGTCTCTGTCTCTCTCAAAAATAAATAAACTTAAAAAAAATTTTTTTTTAAATTATTAACTAAACTTCATGATTTATTTGGCTTTTATTTTTCTGTGAATGTCTTTTTTCCTATTCCAGGGTCCCATCCAGGATATCCCATTGCATTTAGTTATGTCTCCTTAGGTCCCTCTGGGAGATTCCTGTGTTTTACACAGGGCTTAACCATCTGCCATGGGACCATGATTCCTGCCAAAGAGCCCAAGCCACCCATCCCCATGGGAGGTTGATGACACTCACCTGGGATCTGACTTCTGGGCCTGCCTTGATCTGCTGCTGGGAGCAGCGTTGGTTTCTATGTCCTCCCCTTACGGGAGCACTGGATGGTCTCTGCGCCTGAGCACCCGTCACAGCCGTCACCTGGGGGAACAGTGCTGTAGAGCCTGTGGCAGTGGGGCCCAGCTGGTAGCTCTGCCCTTAGCACACACCCAGGCCTGGAACCAGGGTGAATGACCTCTTGAATGAATGGCCTTAGATGACAAACAGGCTCCGCCTGGATTTCACGATCTGCAAGAGCCAGCAGCTCCATACTTTCCTTCCTATATGTTGATCTGAAGTAAAGAGAAAACATGTGGACTGTCTTGCCAGCCCAGACAATGGGCTGGGGAAGACCCTCAGTCTGGGCGTTCCATTACTGCAGGGGGATATGTGGTATACCCGCCCCAGGCCTCTGTTTCCTGCTAGTATCAATATTTAACCACAAAGCTGGGAGCCAAGCCTGGCCTTTTATAGCCTGTGCTTTCTCTCAGTGAAGGTCACGGTCTTGTGTAAATTCCCTACAAGAAGTTGTAAAATAAGACCTTTGGAGGGCTAAGTGTTGGGGGAGGCAAGGCAAGTGACCCAGAGAGGAGGAATTCCACAGACTAGGTTGAACAGCATCAAGCGGGAAGGACTTGGTGGGGAAGCAGAGCAAGGCCAGACCCATTTGATTTTTTTTTTTTTTTTTATGTTTAGTTTTGTGAGAGAGTGAGCTGGGGAGGGACAGAGAGGGAGACACAGAATCTGAAGCAGGCTCCAGGCTCTGAGCTGTCAGCACAGAGCCTGATGCAGGGCTCGAACTCACAAACTGTGAGGTCATGACCTGAGCCGAAGTCAGACATTTAACTGACTGAGCCACCCAGGTGCCCCCAGACCCATTTGATTCTGATTGTCAGTGGGCTCTGGGCTTTCCCACCCCCTGGCTTCTTGCATCTCCAACAGTCTTTGGAGTTGGCTCAGCAAGGAGTTCCATTTCACAAATGAGCAAACAAATTGAATGAGGTCAGGTGACAGGCCCAAGTTCCTCTCTAAGTTAATACTGGTTAACTATGTGGGTGATGGCGTGGTGCAGAGAAAAGGAGACCCACTAGGAGAACCTAGTCCTACACAGAACCCCAGCTCCTCATCATTTCCTAACTCATTCATTCTTTCAATAAATACTACTTGAACACCTCCTGCATGGATACATGGATACAAAGGCACTGCTCTCCTGGAGCTCTCTCTTTAGGGGAGGGATGGACAAGCAATAAAAAAGTAAACAAAAACAAGATCATTTCAGCTGGTGACAATTTCTGTGAATAATTTAAACAACAAAATGATATATAGAGAGATTGGGTGGGGGGAATGTGATTCCTATATGACTATGCTAAAAAACCGAATGCCAAGGCCCATGCAAAGATCTGGGACAGCAGGTGCAAAGGCACTGAAGAAATAATGAGCATAATGAGTTTGAGGAAAAAAATGGGGAAGGGGGTAAAGGAGTTGAGAGATAGTGATAAGGGGAAGTGACCAGAGATAAAGTTAGAAGCGGATTATGCAGAGCTTTGTAAAACAGGATGGGTTTGGGTGAGATGAGAAATCACTAGACAGGAAGTAACGTGGTCTGACTGACATTTATCTAAGATCACTTGGCCTGCTGGGTGGAGAATGGATTGTAAAAGAGCAAAAGAGGAACTAGAAGGCTGTTGCATTCAGAACTAGAGACAGCAGTGGTTTGGATCAGGATAGTGACCATGGAGACAATAAGAAGTGCTCTGATGCAGCGTGCATTTTGAGGAGAAAGGCAGATGATAGTTTTCATGAGAGAGGAACTCAACACTAATTCTCTTAAGCACAGAAGGAATTCAAAAGGAATTTATTGGCTCATATAACTGGGAAAGGCGGGGTGGAGCTGACCTTAGGGATAGCTGGAACCAAGAGCCTGAAGATCCTTAGCTCTTTCTCTCTTCAGCTCTCTCCCTGCTTCTTTCTGGATATCAGGCTCCTTGTTCCCACAGGCTAGTCATCTCCAAGAACCTGGACCAGGCTGCAGGAAATCCACGCTCATATCTTTATGGATGGAAGGGAAGGAAGTCCCTTTTCTCAGATCTAGTTTGGCAATTCCTGAAAAAGGGCTCTATTTGTCCTGGCCCTGATCATATATCCATGTTTTGGATCAGTTGTTATGGCCGGGAGGTGAGGTACCTTGAATGGCTCAAATGGGTCATGCCCATCGCATAACCATGGCTGTGAGCTGGATAGCTACTCCAGTGTGGGTCCCTGGAGTGACTTCTTGACCTCAATCTTCCACTATCCTCCCTGTCTGTCTTGGAGGAATGTCATGGGGGCCTTAAGAAATAAAGCATTGCCAGAACTCGGAAGTCTTCTTGTGTCCACTTCTTGTCACTATCCCCCACAAAGGCAACCACTATTCTGACTTCTAATACCATAGATTAGTTTGGCTTAGTTTTATACTTTATGTAAATTGAATCAATCAAGTATGCAATCTTTTGTGTCTGGCTTCTTTGGCTCAGCATTAAACTTATAGCATTCATCCATGTTATTGTGTATAGTTGTGGTTCATTCATTCTTATCTACATAGTATTCCATTGTGTGACTATCTCACAGTATTTTTTATCTATGGATCTTGTTTTCAGAAGAAAAATTTCAACCCATCTACTTCTTTCCATTGTCTTGAATACAGATAAAATGGTGAATAGGACATTTAAGGACAGAGGTCATTATATTACAACCTATGAGCCAAATTTGACCTGTGGCTTATTTTTGTAAATAAAGTTTTATTGGAACATGGCCATGCCATTTGCTTACATAATGTCTATGGCTGCTTTCACACTACATTAGCAGAATCAAGCAGTTGTGACAATGATTGTATACCCTGAAAAGCCTAAATGTTTACTCTTTGGCCCTTTACAGAGAAAGTTTGTGGACCCAGGCAATGAGATAAAGGAATCTGGCTCCCTGAATGACCTCATGGAGCAGAGCAGCCTACCTTCCCTGGACCAACTGACTACCTCTGCAGTGTTCTATGTGAGAGAAGTAAACTTTGACATGATTCGAGGTCAAGGCACTGTGCTTGGGATCTCTTCATTACAAAAATCTAGCTAGTACTGTAACTAATACATACATTATGTGTGGCTAATAACTGCTGAATAAGTGAATACCATAGCATTAGAAGAACTAAATTCTAATCCTGTTCATCCTTGCTACAACCAGCCATGCACCCCTGAGCTTGTCATGTGGACCTCTTTTTCTTATCAAACTGTATAAGCTTCAAAAAGAAGTAAAAAAGAAAGGTATTTTAGAAATTGTTATCAAGAGGAGCCAATTATGTGATGACAAAACACAGGCCCTTTAAACTCAGGAGATTTTCCCCTGGCCCAACCAATTAGCTTTTCTGTTTTTTTGTTTTTTTTTTTTTTGGGACAGAGAGAGACAGAGCATGAACGGGGAGGGGCAGAGAGAGAGGGAGACACAGAATCGGAAACAGGCTCCAGGCTCTGAGCCATCAGCCCAGAGCCGGACGCGGGGCTCGAACTCACGGACCGCGAGATCACGACCTGGCTGAAGTCGGACGCTTAACCGACTGCGCCACCCAGGCGCCCCTAGCTTTTCTGTTTTAAAACAAAAACAAAACAAAGAAAAAGAGGGGCGCCTGGGTGGCTCAGTTGGTTGAGCATCAGACTCTTGATGCTTTAAAAAAAAAAAAATGTTAAAAAAAAAAAACCCCACCATGAAAAAGGACTTTTTTCCTAATAACAACGGGTGGTGAAAATAGAAAAATACACACTGAGTTGTCCAGGGTCTTGACTCCTCCGCTCAGAGCACTTTAATCTCAGCCCAGGGTTAAGGTACCAGGTAGGGTCCTGCCCTGCTCCAGGGTCTAAGGATAAGCATCTTCCTGCCCTCAGTCTCCTGCTTCTCACCCTGAAGATATGATGTCCTCGAGGCTGACAGCCAGCAGAAGCATCAAGGTGGTGGAGACTGCTCTGTATTTCCAGGTCAGCCTGTTCTGCTCCTTGGAGTGGGCCATCTATCATCAGCTGATGCCAGGAAGGGCAGACAAGCCCTTGTTTGTTTTTACCTCCATTTTCATACGCATCACATACTCAGAAGCCAATTGAATAATTCAGTTCAAACAATAATTCTGGAAAGTCCCCAATAGCAGCACATTCTCTTCTCAGTAAAGAAAACGTAATGGAACATAAAATGAAATCTAGGGGCATCTGGGTGGTTCAGTTGGTTAAGCGATGGACTCTTGATTTTGGCTCAGGTCATGATCTCACAGTAGTGAGATCAAGCCCTGCTCTGGGCATTGAGCCTGCTTAGGATTCTCTCTCCCTCTGATCCTCTCCCACTCATACACAAGCACTCTCTAAATAAATAAATAAATAAATAAATAAATAAATAAATAAATAAATAGCAAAGGAAATCTAAAAGTAGTGATGTAAGGAAATGACAACACATGGGAGCTGAGATGGATGGATAAGGATGAAATGTTCAAGATCTGGGAAGGGGTTAAATTATGATACCAACAGAACCACATATTTCTTCTAGGGGCCAATTTTTATATTAAACCTGGAGGAAGGAAACATATAGTAGAATCAGTGGGGCATTTTTTTGAAAAGGTAGGGCAATTAATTCCAAAATTACTCGTGCTTAAGCACTGACTTGATGCCTCCATCTGCAAGATGGTGGTTGAAAAGAGAGATGGGTATCCAAAGGGAAGCCATCTTTATGCTGAAGTAAAATGATATGAGAGCAAATTCTTTTTCAGCAGATCCATAACTTGCTGGAAACATTTCAGGAACATTTGCAAAGTATTGGAAGTTTGGGCAGACTGGTGTATAGCAATGGAACAAAGTATGTACTTTCTCCAAGAGAGGACATTCTGCAGCCACCACTTTCATCTTAGCTATAAGCATTTGAAACTTTCTATGTTGCTGACCCTTCTTTATAATCCTCACTTTTCTGTCTTTGACCTTTTGCTCCTGGTTACAGTCTAACCAGGTATCTCCTTCAGTTCCTGACTAAATCAAAGTCCAAGAGTAAGCAGAATAAAATCAGTCTCTCAGCCTTTCATTTTAATTATATGGGACATGTGAAGTTTAATCATTCCCGTAGACAGCCCTGTAGGAATAGCTTCCTTTGAAAATGAATTGCTAAATAATGTGAGGAATGACTAACCATTTGGTAAGAAAGCCTTGTGTATTAATCTATCTGAATTTTGTTGTTATCACCTTTCACAAGCAAGTATTCTTTCAGGGGAACTACATAGCATACAGTTGGCACCAGCATTAAAGGAAACACTTTTTTTTTTTTTTAATGTTTATTTATTTATTTTTGAGAGAGAGAGAGAGAAAGAGTGCATGTGTGCTCATGAGCAGGGGAGGGGAAGAAAGAGAAG